TTTTTACAGTTTTACAGATTTTTGCATTTTACAGTTACTGCATAAATCTATATTTTACAGATTTTTGCATTTTACAGTTACTGCATAAATCTATATTTTACAGATTTTTGCATTTTACAGTTACTGCATAAATCTATATTTTTTTATGTGCACATTTTTTCTTTGAAATAATAAACACTGTTGAATTGTGCATAATAAGACAAGGTGAATTTATTAAGAAAGCAAATATCTCACCTCCGGTGCAACCCATGGCTGTATGAAGTTGCTTAGTTCAGAGGTGTAGAACTCTGAAACTGAATCGGGTCCTCCTCCGTGAAGAGCACTTTTGTCCCAGAGGGGGGCGTGAGGATGAAGAGGAAGGGCGGAGGGGGATAGGGTTGGTGTTGGCGGATAGGGGGACCTGGAACGAAGCAGGAGAGATGAAACCCGCTCCTGTAGACGGTTCAGTGCTGTCTGAGAGTCCTGAATGAGGAGAAGTGGTGGGTGGACAGGAGACACTCCCTTCTTTCTCTTCCCGCGGCCCTTACCTGAAAGAGAACAGGAATGATGCACTATGAGTAATAACCTGCCATTTCACTGCATATGTTTAACTGAAAAATGTGAGTTTACCTGCACCAGGCTTCCACTGTAAGGCAGGAGGACTGGAGAGCTGAGCCAGTATCTCCCTCTCCTCCAGATCTCGCTCCTTTTCCATTTCCCGCTCGAGTATAGAGCGAGACAGAGCCAGCGCCACCATGGTGTCCTCGTCCAGCTTCTGGGCTTTCCTCCTGGTTCTCTTTTTTAAAGGCATGCCATCCCTCCGAGTTGTCGTACCACTACCTAGTAGCTGTCTGCAGCGAGAACAGAAGGAACGTGTACAACTAATTTATCTACTGTTGTCAATTTTTAAATAAGCATCCAAAACTAACCCTTTTTAATAACTGTCCTTTTCTTCTTCATTTTCAGCATATTTTGAAACCATGTTTTCTTGACAGTTAAGCACATTTCCCTCCCCATTTATTTGTACTGTAATGCATACTGATATTTTAATTCAGAATATCTGTATGATTTTTGATCATTTTTTAAAATTAAATCAATTTTTTTGCAATAAAAGGTGAAGATAAAAATGTGCCTAATAGTCACAAAAATGTCACACTGGAAAAAAAATTCTGCGTTTTTATTTTTGAAGTATTAAATATGATAACGTATAAACAAATAAAAATATATAAATAAAAAAAGTATATAAAAAGTATGTAAATTCCACAAGTGTGTAAATGTATGATATACAGGTGCATCTCAATAAATTAGAATGTCGTGGAAAAGTTCATTTATTTCAGTGTGCTGACCAGCTTTTTGAAGATGCCGATTCATTTTCCAGCAGGATTTGGCACATGCCCACACTGCCAAAAGTTGGTTAAATGACCATGGTGTTGGTGTGCTTGACTGGCCAGCAAACTCACCAGACCTGAACCCCATAGAGAATCTATGGGGTATTGTCAAGAGGAAAATGAAAAACAAGAGACCAAAAAATGCAGATGAGCTGAAGGCCACTGTCAAAGAAACCCGGGCTTCCATACCACCTCAGCAGTGCCACAAACTGATCACCTCCATGCCACGCCGAATTGAGGCAGTAATTAAAGCAAAAGGAGCCCCTACCAAGTATTGAGTACATGTACAGTAAATGAACATACTTTCCAGAAGGCCAACAATTCACTAAAAATGTTTTTTTTTTTATTGGTCTTATGAAGTATTCTAATTTGTTGAGTTTTTGTTAAATGTGAGCCAAAATCATCACAATTAAAAGAACCAAAGACTTAAACTACTTCAGTCTGTGTGCATTGAATTTATTTAATACACGAGTTTCACAATTTGAGTTGAATTACTGAAAAAAATGAACTTTTCCACGACATTCTAATTTATTGAGATGCACCTGTATATATAAGTACACACATACATACTTAAGTATATAGTACATATATATATATAAAAAAAACTCTCAATTAAAGAAAAAAGTGTCATAAAGTGGCCAGTGGCTGGCTTACGATTGGTCGGTGGTGTTGTCGCTCGCTCTCTCAGCAGCCTGTCTCCTCAGAGCCTGGAGAAGATCATTTGGTTTCACACCCAAATTAGTTGAGCAACGCTTTAAGTGGACAGATCGGCTTTTTTCTGATTGAAAACTCTTTCCACAAATGGGACACTCTGGGACCCGTGGTCTGGGGTGTGAATGATGGGATGCTGAAGGAGCGCTGCTCTCGCTTGCATCTAAACATCTACGAAGCAGGAGAACATGACAGAAGTCAAATCTGAAACTCATATTGTTTGTGTGTGTGGGATATGAATGGTAGTTCATAATGTAGTGGTGGTAACACACCTGTTGATGTGCTGAGTGCGCAGCGGGGGGCTCATGGCTGACAGATCTTTCTGACAGAGCTGGCAGAAGAACAACCCTTCATCTTCCACGTCTCCAGCGGCCCGAGCCTCACAATCCAACTCCTGCTGAAGCTGAAGAGCCAGGGCTTCATCGCCACTCACATCTTCTGAAGGAGAACACACACACTTTTTGACTTTCATTGATTACGTTAAACATGCCATAAAACACATGTACATTTGATTTGAGATATTTTTAACATATTTTTTGCAAATTGTGCTGATAGTAAAACTCTGAATTTTTTTATATATATATATATATATATATATATATATATATATATATATATGTATGTATGTATGTATGTATGTATGTACAATTATTGCAAATTAAAACAATCGGTTGTAATATAACATTTATAATTTTAATGTTTTAGAATTTTAACTGTAAAACAAAAAATGTGTCTAATGTAAGACAACACACACTTTTGACAAATTACTTTCATTGATGACATTAAAAATTTCAAGCCATAAAAACATGTAGGCCTACATTTGGTTTACGATGATATTTTGTTTTGTATATTGTTCTGATTTTGTTTGCAAGTTACAAAGCAATCAATTTTTATGACTGATTTGAACCATATACCACAGTTCACGGTTTAACAAAAAATTTAAATAAATAATAATACATTTATGGAGTTAATCTTTAGCATTTACAGTTATTATTGGACATTAACAAATTTTGTTGTAATGATAAAAATAAAATTTATATTTTTATGTTTTATATATAAACATGTATATATTTTTAATATATTGCAATTTTTATTTACAATGTTACTTACAAATGTACTTTTGGTGGAGGGCCATGAAATCATTGCTTGGGCAAGTAAATGTAAAAAAAAATTAAGAAAACAAAAACACAATATACTAGCCCAGACAAACCAAAAATGTTTATTGCTAATGGTTGTATAACACTAAAATTATCTAACTAACTTACAGGGATAGTTCACCTAAATGTATGAATTTCTTTCTTCTGAAGATATTTTTAAATAATGTTGGTAACCAAACAGTTGACGGTAGTCATTGACTTCCATGTATAGAAAAAAATACTATTGAAGTCAATGGCTGCCATCAACTGTTTGGTTACCAACATTCTTCAAAACATCTTCTTTTGTGCTCAACAGAAGAAAGACACTCATATAAGTTTGAGGTTTGCCATACAACATGAGGGCAAGTAAATGATGACAATTTTCATTCTGGGCTGCACTACATTATACAATGTGGCAAAGTTAGTTCATGTTAATGAAAGTTGAGAGACTGGGTGGATCCCTGGGTTGAAACCCCCTGCTTGACACCATACCTGTCTGCTGGACCCCGGTAGTGGTGGGATGGTTTCCATCAGACTCTGTGGTTGTGGGTTGGTTGGTCTCTGCATGCAAGAGTCTCTCTGGACTGGCTCTCTTAAACTGCTGCATTCTCTGGACCACTGCATCTTTGACTTTCCCTCTGCCAGACACTTCAGGAACGCGCTGGGAACCATCACCAGACTCTACAGCCCGAGTCCTGCCGTTGATCTGACTCTTAATAGCATCCTTAGTCTTCTTTCTCCTCTTTGGGGGGTTTCTTTCGGAAGAGGAGGAGGATGGCTCCTCATCCTTGACTGCTGATCTCTTTTCATCTCCAGATCCTCCTGCTCCTTTCTTCCTCACTCTTTTGAGGAGACGAGAGCAGAGGTCGGTGAAGTCCTGGTCCGAGTCGTTCATGATGAGCCGAACACACACATGATGTGTCACATCTGACAGCTGCTATATGGATCCACAGTTATGGATCATTTAACGTCATTTGAATTTGTTATATTGTGGATAAAAAGCTTATCTGTTCATACGCATCTGACAAATACCAAGGAAGAGTTGCATGTAAAGACATACATCAAATTTACCTTTGTTTACATTTCACTCTGCCATTATTGAAACATATTATATCGGTTAACGTAGTTTAATTGCGATTTATTTCATAACAACTTGAATACAGACCGTTGGCAAGACGCACTTCATTGTATGTTTTTTTTAAAAACAGATGATTTAATGTCGTAAAACGACGGTTTTCTTATCAAGTGTGCTGCGTACCTTTGTTTACATTTCACTCTGCCATTATTGAAACATATTATATCGGTTAACGTAGTTTAATTGCGATTTATTTCATAACAACTTGAATACAGACCGTTGGCAAGACGCACTTCATTGTGTTTTTTTTAAAAACAGATGATTTAATGTCGTAAAACGACGGTTTTCTTATCAAGTGTGCTGCAACGGCGGCTACTGTAGTTCAAAATACTGTTCCGCGACCGCCGCCTACTTCCGGTGACGTCTAGTACGCGGTGACGCAATGACTGCGTCGATTGCGAAACATCTGTCTCAGAGTCATATGACTGAACTTACGAAATGGTGAAATTGCTAAAAAAGATGGCAAATTACACTAAATATTGCCAATAACTAGCTTAATTTAAGTATTTATACATTTTGCATTTATTAATTTTGTTAGTAAAAGTTAAATAAGTCAAAGGACGCGACAGCCTAACCTTAACTTTCTTTCAAAGTAGCTTTAGCATATAATATACTATATAAATAACATTAAATACACATGATTTTGATCTGTTGCACACAGTTTATTTAACAATATGGTATACAAGTAAGAAATACGTTTTTTTCAACCAGTTTATACAGTGATTCCATTCTCTCTTCCTTATAAAGTATTTTGCTTAATAAGTTGCATGATTTACATTAAGGGAATAAGCAGAGCCCCTGTTCAAGTTTGTGTGATAAATGAGGGTCAATATCAGAATCCATTCTGTGTTTCCAACTAGCAGTCAACCAGTGATCGCCTATTCCCTCCCGCTCAGCTTAGGGGCCCCACTCTCTCCCTCTTTCTCTCTAGCTCTCTTTATATTTATATATCTGACAAAATTAGGACAAAAAGCAACAATATTCCACATCTGCAAGACAGAACCTCTGGATCCAGGCCAGTGAGATGTTGTAAATGTGTACATGGCCTCTTGGTGTTGCATTGTCTGAGTGATGCTTACGTGTGTCTGTCTTTGCGTGTCTGCATACATGCGTATGCACAGTTCCTATCAATACAAACAAACAGTTCTCCTCATACATACAAACTTCACAATGAGAAAGGGAGGAAATGCCTCCGAATGCATGTCTGAAAAAATGGTACAACACTAGAATGCAATCGCCAGGAAGGATGACAGACAGAGCAGAGAAACCCTGACCCAAACTCCCAGACAAATTATTTTACAGTCTTCCAACACAGAAATGCTGCAAAGTTAGATAAGGTATAAATCAAAAGGTATGAATAATATAATGAAGTTTCGTATTTTCTTAAAAAAAAAGAAAAGGCATGAAACCAGACCACCCTCCCCCGAAACAAAACCAAAACGACAATTTAAAACAAAACATTTACCACACATAGGTCTAAACTGAACAAAAAATATATTCTTTGTGATTTATATTTCTTTTAAACAACAATTTTCAAATCCCTCTTAAAAGGAAGAAATCAGTTTTTTGTTTTTAGGAAACATCAACATTTCCTATTCCTTGTAGACATAACTTTTTTTTCCCCCCATACATTTCTTCAAACTTTACATGTCAGTACAAAAAAATTTGAGAATATTAGAGAAAAACCAACAGAGCCACAAAAAAGAGGAACGGGGAGACTGTGGTGGGTGGAGTCTCCCAGTAAACGCTACAATCCCTCCACAAATTTCTCCAGCGTGTCTCCTGTTGTGTCTCCCACCATACTTAAGTCACTGGGCAGCCCTCCGCGGTTGGGCGTATTAAGTTGCGGGAGCATGGCACTCCGCTCTGGTGTGCCCAGGTGTGCCTGCTCCATGGAACCAGGCATGGGCATAGTCAGACCAGGGTGTGGTGATCCTGTGTGGGGCGGCGCGTGCTGCGGCGATGGCTGTGGCTGAACCTGTGGGGAAGGACTGGAATGTGGCGGAAGCTGCCGCGACGGAGGTCTGGGCGACTGTACAGGGGCCGGCGAGCACACCTGATTACTGAGTGCATTAGCCATGGGTTGGCCGGGAAGGTGTGCGCCTTGCGGCTGGCCGGAAAGCAGGTGAGTTTGTGGGCTCATTGGACTTGGTTGTGCTGGTGAGCCCATTGGAGGCTTGAGGACGACCTGCTGTTGCGGAACCTGCTGCTGCTGCAGCATGCGTTGGTGCAGGAGATTGGATGTGCCGTCCATTCCCATCCCTCCCTTCCCCATCTGGGCCATAGGGGGCAGCTGGCCCATGGGTCCGCCTGTTCCCTGCATGGCCAACTGTTGCTGCTGCTGCATCCGGAGTTGCGTGTAGTTGGTAGCAGTCCCTTGTGTCTGCGGGAACTGGCCATGTGCCTGCGGCATCACTCCCGGCTGCTGCTGTTGTTGCTGCTGCTGCTGCCGCAAAAGCTGACGGCGGTACAACTCCTGCAGCTGCGGGTTGTTGGCGTGCGCAGGGTTCATGAGCTGACTCTGCGCTCCAAGAGCTGCCATGCCTTGTGGTGCGGGCTGTTGCGGTTGCTGCTGCGGCGCCATGCCAGGTCGCGGCACTGCCTGTATGGCTGCCATGTTCTGCATCGCTGGCTGCGCTGCATGCATGCCGTGTTGCGCTTGTTGCTGCTGCGGCTGGTTGGCGTGGTACTTCGCAGTCCTCTGTTTGATAAAGGCGGCCATGAGTTGCGGGTTCGATTTGAGGATGTTCAACACCTGCTGCTGTTGCTGGGGCGAGCTGGGCGACTTGAGGGTTCGTAGCAGGTCTTGCAAGGCATTGGGGGCGATGGCTCCGGGTCTCTGGGGTGCCTGCGGTCGTGGACCCTGTGTGGGCACCATCATGCGTGGCTGTGCAGCTTGCTGGGGCATTGGGGGTCTCTGCATAGGCATGGTCTGCGGAGCGCCCGGTGCGGTCTGTTGCGGAGCAACCTGCTGCTGAGCCGCTTGCATGCCTGGCTGAGGGCCTCCACTCCACTGTCCTTGTGGCATTGACGGCATGACCTGTTGTCCGTGTGGCCCGACATGCTGCATTGGGCCTGGCATGCGTGGCTGCTGGTGGTTCATAGGAAGGCCATTCATGGTCATGCGATAGTTCTGTTGGTGTTGAGCCTGGGCGACCATTTCTATGTGCCGTGCCATTTTGACCGCCATAGGCGGAGGCTGTTGCTGAGGCGGTTGTTGCGGCGGCTGCTGCTGCTGGGGAGGTTGCGGGAGCGGAGACTGCTGCTGGTGAAGCGGGGAAGCTTGTGGGCCAGGTTTGCCCTGTGAAGCTTGAGGAGGGGGTTGTCCATTGCGGGGCGCATTGGGATAGGCCGGGGACACGACACCTGCATTGGGAGTCGTTGGTTTGTTGGACAGCGGTTGTGGTGTTTGAGGGGTGTTGGGTTGCTGATGCGAGGTGGGCGTGCTGGGGGCTATTGATGCAGGCGGTGATGGTAGGCTCTGAGGCATGGCTCGGCCCTGCATAGTAGCCATGCGTCTCCGCATCATCTGTGCCTGCTGGAGCCTGTGCTGCAGCTGCTGCTGACGCAGTTTGTGCTTTATATTGAGGCAGAAGGGCACGGGGCACTTGTTCTCCTGACAGTGCTTGGCATGATAGCAGCAGAGCGCAATGAGCTGCTTGCACACCGGACAGCCACCGTTTGTCTTGCGTTTGCAGCCCTTGGTGTGCTGCACCACACGCTTCATCTTCTGGCAAGATGGCAGAGAGCAGTTGGCATTGCGGCACTGGCAGGCATGCACCAGAGACTGGATGCAACGCTGGATGCTTAGACGCCGACTCTCCTGAGGACTCTTGGAGGCCTCGCCGCTTTGACTGTTATCATCGTCCAGACCCAGACCCCACTTAACCATCTGGTGCTCATGGCCATTAGTGTTATAGCAACTAATGCACAGGTCAAAGTCCTGCAGAAAGATGAGGGCACAGTGATTAACCAAGGAATGACAGGAATATCAAAAGTCATCTCATTATGAAAAGACAAGAAATTATTACGATGCATCAACAACAAATGGACAAAACATGTGAAAGATGTGTTTACACTACTAGTAGAATAGATGTTACTAAAAGATCCCATGGCTCCCCAAGTTTCAAAATCACAAAGGTTTTCTTTTCTAATGTGCTCAAATCAAAACAAACCCAGAAACACACCCATCCACTACTGATCATAAACGAGAGCTGTAGCGTGTTACAGGAGCCTCTGTATCTTACCTCGCAGACAGTACAGTGCCAACGTGTCTCGACATGGTGTTTACATTCGTTGCAAGTGTAGACAAAGCGGTCATGGCCCTGGTTGTGCAATTCCACCAGCATGCACATGGTGCTCCA